TTGCACACTATTAGAATTTTGAATATGTTTTCTGGCTGTACATGCTAAATTAAGATCACAGCTCTGTTTAAGTTCAGTCTATGGTCACCACAAGAATGATAAGAACTGTTATCGTCGCTGATAATGTTGTATTGTGAAGATTAGCCCTTTTTGTCCTTCTGGAATTGCTAATGTAACTCTGATATTGCATTTCCAGGCTGGGCAGGTAAAAAGGTTTGTCAAAGCATTTCCAATTTTATGTTCTGCAGAATAATTAGATTCAAATGCTATGTTGGTTATACATTGCAATTATATACCTGTATGCAATATAACATATTTTAGTATATCAATAAAACTTAATATAGGTTATAGTATATTTATATACAGTGCCTTGAAAAAGTATTCATACCCCTTGAAATTTCCCACATTTTTCATGTTACAACCAAAAACGTAAATTTATTTTATTGGGATTTTATGTGATAGACCAACGCATAGTGAAGGGATGGACGCTGTTCAACCGACCCCAGGATTCCAATGTTGAGGAATTACCTCAGCCATGGAAGGTAGAAGGAAAATGATAAATGGTTTTCAAAATTTATTACAAATCTGAAAATATTAAAAATCTGAAAAATCTGAAAATATGGCGTGCATTTGTATTCAGCTCCCTTTACTCTGATACCCTGAACTAAAATCTAGTGGAACTAATTTCTTCAGAAGTCACCTAATTAGTAAATAGAGTCCACCTGTGTGTAATTTAATCTCAGTATAAATACAGCTGTCCTTGTGTATTTCAGGAATACAATCACACTTCTTCATTGACCCTATCAATTTCATACATACAAAATTGTTTTATGGGAATTATACTAATTTCTCTACTGTGGATGTGATGCCCTGCACAATTATATGCATCAAATCTGTGTAAAAAAAAAAATATATATTTTATTTTGTGTCTTAAAATTCTTTCTTTCAAAACAATTCACACTCCTGAAAGCTGCAACTCTCTCTTTATTTTATCCTTATCTAAGAAAGATAAACTTCTACTTCTTATATTATTTTGTCTAAAGTGCCCACAGTCCTTTTAGTCTTGCAATTGCTATCGATCTTATAATCTTTCTATCAATTTTGTAATCTGCCCTCTATTGTAGCTTTTCTGTATTTGTCTTTTTTGGTGAAAGTTTTCTTTATTTAGCCATTCCACAAGTGACACAATAGAAATATCAGCCATAAAACATATCAAGGCATGACACATCACACATCCTGAACCATCATAGTTACATCCTGAATATGGCATAGTTGCACCCTTAATATGGCATAATTACACCATAAATATGGCATAGTTACACTGTGAATATGGCATAGTTGCACCCTGAATTGGACATAGTTACACCATGAATATAGCATAGTTACACTGTGAATATGCATAGCTGAAGTTTAATCATGGCTACATAGTTACATAGTTTGTCACATCGACTTAGTCAGGAGAGAAACACCAATGAGTACACACATTGGTGTACTGCTCCTGATGCTGCAACCATGTGATGTCATTTCATAGAAGCTGCTCACATGTTCATTCCAGGAAATGGAGTGTTCCTCTCTAAAACATTTGGTTGCATTATCCTGAGTGCTTGGCAGGAGAATTACATAATCTTATTGGGGGGTTTTCTGCGTTTAATGCTTTTAGTAAATACATGTTGCACTATGATCATCTGTATCTCTCTTTTCCTCATGGTGGTATGATGGAAAGTGGTGTGTGGAGCCTTTCACTGCATTTACCTATGCGGATCCAAGATACCTGACTGGCTATTATACAAAAAGCCTTGTCTGACCATTTTATTTATTCAAGTGGTCAAAGGTGAGTGGATGACTGATGGGGGAAACCCAAAACTCATGAGTTTCAGTAACATTGTGACTGCTGAAGCCAGACTGAAAAGTAGATGTGTTTATTATACAAGCAAGTAGCTAGAACTACATACAGGGAGAGTAAAACAATACAGTGTTGGATTCAAAGTAATGCTCTAACTGCCTTGGGAAGCTAATACAATTTATATGTCCTAAGATGGGTGGTACCAGGGGCAGACTGACAACTCATGGGGCCCCAGGGCAATAGGGGATCATGGGGCCCCTGTGTCCCTGCCCAAACTCAAAAAAGCCTATGAAAAAAAGGTACCAGGGGCATCTCATGGGGCCCCCTACTAACCCCGGACCCTTGGGCAGTGCCCGAGTTTCGATATGGTCAGTCCACTCCTGGGTGGTACCTAACTACCTAATCATTCTTTGAAGTTACATCTGTGTCTTTGGTGGGGTTCATTGAAATGTAAATGGCCATTCACACAAGCATGTTAATTCCCATAGCTTCTTTAGATAGCAATCTTCCCAGCTGGAGGTGTAAATAGCATTCTAACAGAAGAAATACAGCTGTTACACAATAAGACTTCTAATAACAAAATATACATTCAATTTATATCCAGTTAATCAAAAATAAATGTTTGATATATAAAATGGCTGTTCCATTTTCCCTCACAATGACTGACTGGGGTTGTCGAAAAAGTATTATTTGGATTGCACAGAGGAGCAAGGCTCAAATATATCACTGTGGAGTGGACATTTTGCACTTCAGAATTTGGTTATTTTGCATTCTCCATCTTTTGGCTAAGATCAAGTGTAGTATCTGTTCTTATCAGTGTTCAGTAGGGGTGCTTCACCATCATTCCTGCTTAGCGGTGATGATTGGTTGTATAGTACCTCTGCTGGTAGGATGGGGGTCCTGATGGTTAGTACAGGCTGGAACAGAAACCAAGGTGCCCACAGGCAGTTGGGGCCCGGGAGTAATTCCCCCTGGAAAACCAGAGGGGCCCAGTTCCTCCTGGTTTGAACGGATCTACCTTGTCTGGCCAGGGCCCAGGGAGGTAGAGAGTCCCTGGACCAGTGCCCCCTGAGTGGGTGCCTCAGGGGTGCTCTTAGTAGCACATGGGGATGGGATCCCAAGTGTGAAACGTGCACATGGTCACTGATCCAAAACACTTTTTCTGCACTGCGCCTTTTAGGGCTAGGCCTTTTGGCTAAGTCCAGGGCAATTTTTATGCTACAGGCCTCAGGGCCTAGCCAGTGCACAATTGCACGGCCACTTTTTTATTTACCTTATTTTTCTCCCATGTTTGTTCACTTTCACTTATGTGTGTATTTTCTTTTCTCAAGGATAGTAGGGTGTGGGTCCTCGGGCCTACCCTGAAGTCTAGGGGGAGGATGTGTGGCCTTTTGGTTCCTTCCTCCTCTGTCCCTAGGGTTTTTCTCTTAGGGAGAGCCCCCTTACCTAGTACTTGGTGGCTGGCTTTGGCCTTTTGGCTAGGTGGACCACATGGGAACCTTAGTCCCTGTCAGGTGCTTCGTGCTCCGGGGGATCAGAGTAGAGATGCTACCCCTTCGGGGGGTGGACAAAGCACACCCCTAAGTGCACTTTGTGTTGGTTTTCCACTAGCACGTTTTTTGTTCACTTACGGTTTTTCGTTTTTTTTTCGCACGTCCGCGGACTTAAAAAAAAAATTTGGTTATTTTGCATAAGCTTTGGTACTTTATTGTGTGCTATTGTGCTTTGGAATAAGTTTTAATTTATTGATTCAGTGGAGAGGTATACATGTGATGTGTTTACAAATATTTTAGGTTTGTTATATATAGGTGTAACTATATGTATTGTAGAAAGATTTTTTTTTTCTGTTATTTGTTTTGCCGGCTGTAAATTTATTAATATTTATTGCTGTTCTTTTAGGGCCAGTTCACACTGGGATTGCACAAGAGCATGCAATTCCTACACTTTTCCCATGCATTGGATCATGGAGGTGGACTACAAACCACATGGTACTGCACTAACCATGTGATTTGGTGCCCACAAACATACTGTGTTTGGGATGCAATTAACAATATATTGGCACCTGCATGCAAATCACAAGGTCAGCACCTTCACTTGCAGTGTGGGAAATGCGTATTTCCCATGCGTATGTAACTTGCCTGACATTATCTCTTTTTTTTTGGCAAACTCTTAAAGTGATTCTAAAGGCTTATCTTTTTAAAGAAAAAATAACAAACATGTCTATACTTACCTTCTGTTTGCAGTGGTTTTGCACAGAGCAGCCCAGATCCTCCTCTTCTGGGGTCTCCCGCAGGCTCTCCTGGCCCCTCTTTCCTGTCGGGTGCCCCCACAGCAAGCAGCTTGCTGTGGGGACACCCGCTGCTCCGTGTGTCCATTCACACATGGAACTGTGGCTCAGCCCCAGCCACCTTTTCGCATTGGCTCACTGGCTATGATTTACAGCAGTGAGAGCCAATGGCTCCCGCTTCTGTCTCAGCCAGTGATAGCTGAGATTCCAGTGCACAGTGCACAATCGAGAAGGGGCTTAGGCGAGTATTAGGGTGGGCTTGAGGGGATGCTGCACAGAGAAGGCCTTTTTAACTTCATGCATAAAATTCATGAAGGTAAAAAACCTTGAGCCTTTAGAACCACTTTAATTTTATAATTAAGCAACTTCATTATTATTTTAAGCAAGCCCCTTTCAGGATGTTTTTAGCATCCCTAATTTATCTTTAGCTTTTAACATTATACAGTCTTCAGGATGCATCTCTGTTTTTAGCATTCTTAAAACACTATTAAACACAACACCTAAGATGTAATGTTACTGATCCTTATATGTGGTGGCCGGATTCGTTTTATGTTTTAATTCTTTTTTCACTGTTTTCACCTGGTGATTTGGCCAGTAACACACCTCCTGTATTGTACCCACTCTGGATAAAGGAGTACAGGGTGTACTTTTGGACAGCTGCATTGCCAGTCTGGGGGGAGGGGGTGTTAGTACTACTAGATGATTTAGATACACTAACAAATTGAAACCAGACTCTTGCTAACATTGTAGTTACACAAGCACAGGGGTGGACTGACAACTCATGGGCCCCCGGGCATTAGGGGATCATGGGGCCCCTGTGTCCTTGCCCAAACTCAAAAAAGCCTATGAAAAAGGTACCAGGGGCATCACATGGGGCCCCCTACTGACCCCGGGCCCTCTGGCAGTGCCCGAGTTTCCAAATGGTCAGTCCGCCCCCTGCACAAGCAGTTACAGCAACAGCATGTGATCTCCAGCTATTCCACACAGGAGAGTGGCTCTGCCCTGCTTGCCAAAGTCTGCAACTCCCAAAATGTAAAGGGGACTGCTGTGACTTGCAATCCTTTATAAAGAACACCAGCTGCTGGAGGATTGCCTAAATGGACTTGGATTTATATGGACTTTACCTGTGAAGGTATGCTGGGGCAGCTAAATCTGAATTAGGGACTAGGTTAGGGAATAACTGCTACACTGTTTGCCCGTTATGCTGAGTTTTCTGAGTAAAGCATTTAAATGTTTCCGTGCCTGGTCTGAACTTATTTTAGCGGGTGTATGAAAGTAACCTGCACATCACACATCGTCATCTGCACATTGGGGTATGAAGACAGATGTACAAGAGTTAATGCGGTACAAAAAGCAGGAAGTGGCTACCTCTACAGCCAGTACAAGCAGCCTGTTGTTAAGCATGTACCTTTGACAGGTGAGATGTTCTCCAGCAATGAGGGAAATGTTGTCAGCATTCTCTCTTTGAGCGGTCCATCTCCCAAACAATGGGAGTAGATGTGCACCGCAGAGATCCCTGGCCTGATCATAGAAACAGAAGCAAAACACTTAACAGAGCATGCATGGAGTCTGTGCTAGGTGCTCAGCTGAATTCCATTTTGTTACTGGGAGTGAGGTAGCAGACATATGCTGGACATGTGGAGTGAGCATGTCCCTCTGAATTGCAACAACTGACAGTGAAGGCGTACATTAATGTGATGCCTGAGAGAGTTAACTGGAGTCCAGTTTATTGTTCAGTGTGCACAGTGTACAGCCATCCCTAAGTTAAAGGCCCACCTTAAGGTCAGGTTTTCCCTGAAATTGGCCTTTGCCTTGTCCTGAGGCATTGATGAGCATAGCACAGTAAAGGTACCCCATGTGCAAGGCAAGTGTTCCATCCAAGGTGCCTTGCATAGCTCAGAAGAACCCACCCTGGGGGTAGGCCTCTTATGTTACCTACACTTGGTGCCCAATGAGGAGGGGAACATGGAGGAAGTACCACCCACCTATACCCCTCCCACTTCCTTACAGGCTGCCTGTAGCCTTTAAGCAATTGCATTAACCTCACATGTGGCTCATTACACTCTGCATTACATGGAGGCAAGATTGTTTTCCTTACCTCATTACTGAACAGTGTACCTTTTAACAAGCAACAACATAACTAAATGCAACATTCCATATAAGAAACACAGTTTCTTCCCAAATTATTTGAAGTTTTAATCCCAAATAAGTGGATACAATCCATAACTATTGGAAAAACGCATATGCCACAACTCGTCCAGAGGACAAAATAGCCTCTGCTTCTTGCAGAAGTGCACTTTTTCTGTCTTAATGAGAATGATCAAGTGATCTCAACTGTCTGTGCTATCCTATTCAGGCACTGCCTAGACAGTGTCCGACCTGTGCATATCAGTCTCATATAAGTTCAGAGAGAGACAGAGAGATTGGATAAGTATATCTTGTAAGACTGATATTAGAGGAGTTTAAAGTTGTTAGGTGCAACTTTTACAACCCCAAATATATACTTATAATCTTATCAAGCTAGTTTATTTTTAAATCTACCCGTAGGCTTAAATATCCATTAGCTCCTAAACTATAAGTTAATTACAATGACCATCCATAACTTCAAAGGCAATAGGTTCAAAAGAAACTGCTTGTGCAGCTGTAAATCAGTACCTAACTATAAATACCTGATTACTCAATCACAACTAGGTAAAGGTATTGCTAGCCACTCATGAGTCGTACACACTCACTGGCCACTTTATTAGGTATACCTTTTCAATTGCTTGCTAACACAAATTACTAATCAGTCAATCACATGCCAGCAACTCAATGCATTTAGGCATCAAGATGTGGTGAAGATGATTTTCTGAAGTTCAAACCGAGCATCAGAATGGGGAAGAAAGGGGATTTAAGTGACTTTGAATGTGGCATGGTTGTTGGTGCCAGACCGGCTGGTCTGAGTATTTCAAAAACTGCTGATCTATTGGGATTTTCATGGATGACCATCTCTAGGATTTACAGAGAATGGTCAGAAAAAGAGAAAATATCCAGTGAGCAGCAGTTTTGTGGACTATAATAGATTGTTGATGACAGAGGTCAGTGGAGAATGGGCAAGATGATAGAAAGGCAGCAATAACTCATGTCAATGTGGACCAAAATCTTTGAGGAATGTTTCCAACACCTTGTTGAATCTATACCACGAAGAATTAAGGCAGTTCTGAAGGCAAAAGGGAGTCCAACCGATACTAGCAAGGTGTACCTAATAAAGTGGTAGGTGAGTGTACATGTGAATAAGGAAATATGGAATGCCTAATTCCTAAAGAAACAGTCCAGCCAAGAAAAGATGAAAGCGGCAATAGCCGACTCCTCCCAGGACACTCCTCTGCTGTGTTTCACCCCACCCACAGGGCTTAGTCATGGGGTTGTGGATGTAGAATGACTGGGATGACTGCTTGGAGTGACACCAAAAGCTTGTATGGTTCTTGATATACATATGCATCTATTAAATGTAAAAAAAAAAATCTGCTTCAGTAGTTGAGATTTTGTGTGTGGATGGCCACAACATAAAGGTCCAATACAAAGGTCCTAAAAGGTTATCTGAGGTCTACCAAGTTACACAATACAAAATCTGATTGTCTGTATAGGTTTTAGGGTTTCTTTAAGAGGTGAAATTTGTCTCTCTTGAAGTGCATATGAAAACAAGCTGCTTCCTTTGGTGGCTAGTGAGCTTTGCTCCAAACAAGACAAAAGCAAACATGAGGAAGCTGGTTAGCATAGTGTAGTGTGATAGAGTAGCATGTTGACTGTGGAAGGAGTGGACATCTTATGCTCTGAAGAAAGATGATTGATAGAGATAGTAATGTAATCACTGATTAGTGTCCCCTGATTCTGGGGAACATTTTATTCTCAGCCATCTTCCCCCATGGTAAATAATTACACTATGAAAAAGAAAAAAGAACATTTCTCCATTGTACTGTAACAGGGTTAGCTCGGCAGTGGGTGTGTGTGACCCCCTGGATGGGTGCACAACACAAAAAGACAGGCACAGCACAACAACAGTGGAGGTGAAAAAACAAAAAGGTGCAGTTTATTTACACTATGTACAAAAATATGCCAAACAAAACGAAACATCAAATTAAATCCTGGCCAACTTGGCTACTTACTGTACCAACAGCTTTCCCTAGCTACCCACTAGGTACAGCCTGATGCTATACCTAGTTGCTAGTAGTTGGAGGCTAGCCACACAGGCTTTGGTCTCCCTGCACACAGATTAAATGTTTGCTCCCCAGTCCATTCAGGCATAGATCTGGTTCCAGGTTGGAGCAACTCCCTAAGCAAGCTGGGAAGTTTTATAATGGCCTTAATGAGCCCACTACCTTCAGCTGGGCTCATTACCTCAGTGCTGAAGGACTCAGCACTTCCCTCTAGTGAAACAAATCCCCATAGAGTCTGAACCTTGGACAAATGTATTGTCCATCCAGGACGCAACCAGTGGATTTCACCTGCCTACTGTCACAGTACATAAAGTAACTTAACCACTTGACCTCCAGAAAGTTTTACCCCCTTCTTGAACAGGCCATTTTTTTTGCTATTCAGCACTGTGCTACTTTAACTGGTAATTGCACAATCATACAACACTTTATGCAAATTAAATTTATATTTTTTTTTTTCACACAAATAGAGCTTTCTTTTGGTGGTTTTTGATTGCCACTGGGTTTTGTAGTTGTTTGATATATAAATAAAAAAAGCCAGAAAATTTTGAATTCCCCCCTGATATTTTCAACTTTCTGTTATAAAACATATCCGATAAAAAAGTTTAAATCAAATTTCTAGTAAATTTAAGGCAAAAATCTGCTACATGTCTTAAGTAAAAAAAAGTGTATAATAATTGGTTTGTGTGAAAGTTTTATAGTGTCTACAAACTATGATATATATTTGAAAATGTATCAATCTGGATGTACTGATGGCTTTCTTGAGGCCCATTAAAATGCCAGGATAGCACAAATACCCCCAAAATTACCCCTTTTTGGAAAGTAGACAGTCCAAAGTATTTATTAGGAGGCATTGTTTTTGCAGTTGTATTTTTTTATCACAATTATTTTGAAAAATGAAGAAATTAAATAAAATTTTTTTTTTTTTCAAATGTTTTTTTTTTACATATTGTCACCAGTGAAGTACAGCATTATCAAATAACTGGTGTGGTCTGGATCAGGGATACTGACTGGTGACAGTATGTTAAAAAAAAAAAAGAAAATTTAAAATAACTTTTTACTCAATTTTTTTTTTTAAATTTCCTTTTCCTAACATTTTGTTTCTTTTTTTTCTTTTTTTTTTTACATGCTTTCATCAGAGTAGTTCAGTGTCCCCATAGTTACTCTATACTACTCCGGGGATGATCAAGGATTTTTTTTACACTTTGATTGCTATTACAGTGATGATCACTGTAACAGCAATGCTTTGAACTGTCATGCATGGATTACATTCATACCAGCTGTGATTACTATTGTGCTGTGAAAAAGGTACCGGGGGCATCTCATGGGGCCCCTACTGACCCCGGGCCCTTGGGCAGTGCCCGAGTTTCCAATTGGTCAGTCCACCCCTGGCTGCGATTGGCCCACAGCTATCACATGGTACAAGGTGCTGTGATTGGCTCAGGCACAATGAGGTAGCTTTGGGCCAATCACAGCATCACACTATAGGAATCACAGCTGTGATGAATGACATGTATTCATAACAACTTTGTTGACACTGTGATCTTGTGATCGCAGAGTGATCACATGATTCCTTGGCTGCTCAATGCAGCTAGGTACCAGGATCTGCAATGCACTATGTCTGATAGACACAGTGGTTGCGGGAGCGGCATGCTGTGCTCCCTCGGCTGGAAAGCGCACATGTACATGATCCAGCCAGCCAATGCCGCCCTGCTGGAGTAAATGTGAGTAATGTAAGTGGGTGGGTGGCCACCAATTAAATAACACATAGAGTATACCTGCTACTGGCTGTGAAGCATATCAGCAGTTTAACTATACAGG